AATAAAATTAAGAGAATTAAAATTCTAAGAATTAATTCCGTCATATTCAATATTCAATATTCATCTCCCTCTTCCTCAGTCTGAGTTTCTGACACTATAAACTCGTTTCTTTGTCTTCCTCTATATATACACGGGCTTCTCTCATTTCTCTCGCAAACTTAGATATCATCGACATGGCAGTTTCCGTGTCTTTGTTCAGAGCAAACTTACCTTCCTGCACTTCATTTCTTAAGCCTACAAGAACCGACCGGAGTTTCAGAACACGGGTCAGTTTATCGATTCATGATTTTCATCTTTATACTAACTGGAACCTTCAACTTCTCAAGTCTTATCTTTCTTCTTTTGAACGTTTAATTTGTAAATCTGTTCTTGTGTGCGTTTAACGATGCTCTTTTTTTTTTTCTTTTGGCTGACGATGGGTTTAAGTATCGGATAAATTTTCTTTTTCGTTTTTCAGCAATTCATGTTTCCTTTCTGTTTCTGGGTTTGATCGGAAATGCTCTGTGTTTGGTGCTCTTAAACGTTTTGGTGACATGAAAAGCAGTTCGTTAATTACAGAATGTTGATTGATTGATTTGTTGTTGTGTTGTTTCAGTTAGAGGTGAAAGCAGGTGGTGATAGCTCGGATGTTGAAGAAGACAAGATGGTAATAAAAAAAGAGAAGGATGGATGGAAAATTGACTTCTCCGCTGGGAAACCAGCGACTCCATTGTTGGACACCATTAACTACCCAGCTCACATGAAGAATCTATCCACAGAGGTATGTGAGATCATGTAGCTAGTCCGGTGATGTCCAAACATTTTTCCGAGTTAGCTGCCGTGATGACTGCTGAGTTAATGACGGCAAGAGTCCAGACCTTCGGCCGGGAGGGAGGATTTAAGTCGGGTCAATAACGAGTAGAAAAGACTGGCTGAGGACGCTAGAAAGTAGAATATGAGAGAGGCGGAGACGGAGAGCCAGTGAGGTGGCATGACGGAGAGTTTGAGGGCTGAGAGAGAGAGAGAGACAAGCAAAAAACAGAGGAGATAAAACTTCAAAAAGTAATAATAAATTTATAGGGGTGAATTTTTAATCAAATCTAAGGTCAAAGGGTCAAATTCTATGGACTTGGGGGGGGCGCAAAGACTGAACCTTTTCTTATGGGTAATAAAAATTTTGAAGTCAGAAGATTCAAGTGACAAATTGAGCTTCTTTAAAAATAAAAATAAAAAAAAACCCGGTTCACTCGTCTAAACTACTATGAGAAAACGAAAATGAAAATCTAAGATCAACACATTAGAAACTTTTAATAAAACCATTCGCTCAAATTATTAAAAATAACTCGAGACATGTAGATTCATTTTTGGACTGCAATTCTGGTAACTGGTGTGGTTGTTTTGAAGGGTTCGTTTTTGTTTTTGTTTTTGATTGAAGGATCTGGAACAACTAGCAGCAGAGCTGAGAGCAGATATTGTGTATAGTGTGGCGGAGACAGGCGGGCATCTTAGTGCGAGCTTAGGCGTGGTGGAGCTAGCGATAGCTTTGCACCATGTGTTCAACACCCCTGAAGATAAAATCATATGGGATGTTGGCCATCAGGTGATTATATTCACAAGCTATGTGAATTTCTTTTGGTATACTTTTCGTAGCTTAGTTTTTTAATTGTTTCAAGTAAAACTGGGAAATAATGCCCTGTTTCAAAGAATACGAAGAATGAACTCAAACAATAAATTACGCAGGCCTATCCACACAAAATTCTAACAGGAAGAAGATCTAGGATGCACACATTAAGGAAAACTTCAGGCTTGGCAGGTTTTCCGAAGAGGGACGAGAGCATTCATGATGCATTTGGTGCAGGGCATAGCTCTACTAGCATCTCTGCGGGTCTTGGTGCGTATTTCCTCACTATTTTGGTTTTTATTTTCTTGATCAACATAATAAAAAGAAAGAAGACACGAAGTTGGTCCCAACTAAAATTGAGAGAAATAGTTGCTTAAGTTGCTTGATCACTGAACTCATAACGAAGAAAGCCTGCAATGGGAGATAGAATTTGTGAGTGAAAATGAATGGTTTTGAGAATGTAGGTATGGCAGTTGCAAGAGACCTTCTGGGGAAAAACAATAACGTTATCTCTGTGATTGGAGACGGAGCCATGACTGCAGGACAAGCCTACGAGGCCATGAACAATGCAGGATTCCTCGATTCCAACTTGATTGTTGTACTGAATGACAATAAACAAGTATCTTTACCAACTGCTACTCTTGATGGCCCCGCAACTCCAGTTGGCGCCCTTAGCAGTGCCTTAACCAAGCTGCAAGCCAGTACCAACTTCCGCAAACTTCGTGAAGCTGCAAAAGTAAATTTCTAAGAATGGAGAATTTTTCAATACCCTTACGTGAAATGAAATCTGATTTTGGTTTTTTATATGGTGATTGGTGAAGAGCATTACAAGGCAGATTGGCAAGCAAGCACATGAAGTAGCAGCCAAGGTAGATGAATATGCACGAGGAATGATCGGTGCTCCTGGTTCTGTTCTCTTTGAGGAGCTAGGGTTATATTATATCGGTCCAGTTGATGGGCACAACGTTGAAGATTTAGTCACAATTTTCCAAAAAGTGAAAGAGATACCCGCCCCAGGGCCCGTCCTAATCCATGTCGTGACCGAGAAGGGGAAGGGCTATCCTCCAGCTGAGGCAGCAGCTGATAAAATGCATGGTGAGATTTCAGCTACTGACTCACTGCAGTGCAACGTATCCATTTGACATTGCTTATGTTATGTTAATCTTAAATGTCACTTTTTCTATTGTTGCCACTTCAGGAGTTGTCAAGTTTGATCCAGAAACAGGGAAGCAATTTAAGTCTAAATCCCCTACACTTACATATACACAATACTTTGCTGAATCTCTGATAAAGGAAGCTGAGGTAGATGATAAAATTGTAGCCATTCATGCAGCAATGGGTGGTGGTACAGGTCTCAATTATTTCCAGAAGAGGTTTCCAGATCGATGCTTTGATGTGGGGATTGCTGAGCAGCATGCTGTAACCTTTGCAGCAGGTCTAGCCACAGAGGGTCTCAAACCATTCTGTGCCATCTATTCATCATTCCTGCAACGAGGCTATGATCAGGTACATGAGCAAATGACGAATTAGGCATGCATTGACTTTATGCTAAAGTTTTGACATTTTATATGAACCTCTTAAGGCAAAAGTTTAACAGTAATGGTTCTTATTGAATATCAAGGTGGTACACGATGTAGATCTTCAAAAACTACCTGTTCGATTTGCAATGGACCGAGCTGGATTGGTTGGTGCTGATGGACCCACCCACTGTGGAGCATTTGACATCACATATATGGCTTGCTTGCCAAACATGGTGGTCATGGCTCCCTCAGACGAGGCTGAGCTTATG